TTTTCTTGATTATTTATGCTTGTCATCCTTGCGCAGGGGCCAGATCCCAAGTCCCACTTACCGGAATCGCCAATTCCTGACGGTAGATCATGAAGATCAACGTCAAAAAATGAGGAATCTGGCCAAGTGGGACTTGACCCCAGGACCGACTGGCACTCGTTTCAAACGTGGGACAGTACAGTGCTGCGTGACCCGCTTTTGGCATTAAAAAAAATGGATTCTGCATTTTTTTCAGATGAAGAATCCTCTCTTTCATGTCGAAGATAAAGAGCGCAAAATTCAGCTTAGGGTGCTTCCGTCAGCACATGCACATGCGATGGGAACCATCGAAGTCATCGGCGTGCTGGACTCAGCCAATGGGCTGCGCCCAGTACTTTGTATACACAACTTACATTGTTTTTTTCGCCGGCCTTGTCGAGACACGAAGCACTGTAGCAGCGTTGCGTTCTTGTGCCCTCCCCCCCCCCAGAAATACATGAAAACGCAATGGGGAAACTAAGAGGGAGTCACAAAAATGAGTTATCATTGCACTACTATGGGCCAAGATACAGTTTCGAATTGCACTTGGGGCAATGTATACACCCCAGCTTTCTGGCCAGGTGTAGGGTGCCCCAAGTGCAATTGCGAAATGTATCTTGCCGCATATATAGTGCAATTATAACTCTTCTTTTTTGTAACTCTACTGGAACTACCCCAAATGCAATGCTGCGACAGTGATTCTGAATTAAAAGACCAAACTTAAAATTTTAAAAATTAAAAACTTTTGCGCTTTTTTTGAGTCTCTGCGAAACTCGGAAGCCCACACGATTTTCCCTCCATCGATGGCCTGTAGCAATTTTTTTTTTTTTTTTTTCCGTCTGTAGCCATTTAAATCTATCACACGTGATAGAAAACCAAGCAGAAAACCCAAGCACACATGTTCTTTTGAAAAAAAAAAAGAAGAAAAAAACGGCGCTAGTCGGTCCTGGCCCCAGGGGCCATGCCACTCTCTTCACCCGAATAGAAGGCCTGGTAATTATTGCCGTATATGGACTGAAAGGTGCACCAAATACTGCTAAAATGACTGGGTGTTCCAAATGAACAATGTCTTTATAAAAGCCGGGAACTGGGCCCGGCGTCCCTTACAAAATTATGTGGGGCCCTCAGTGGGCCAGGCATCATCTATTCGGGTGAAGACGGGAGTCTTCTCTGTATGGTTCCGATTTTATTTTATTTTATTTATTTATTATTATTATTTTTTTTTTTGGGTTCCGATTTTAACAGATGTCCCAAAGGACGAAGGCTGATATCTCAAGGCCATCACCCTTTAAATAAATAAATAAAAAAAGGAAAAAGAAAAAGTAAAAAATAAATGAATAAATAAACTTTAGCCAGATGATCTTGAGCCCAGCTGGGTTGGTGGTTGCGATTTCACTGGGCACATGGCAGACAAGGAGCCTGGCTCCATTACACTACATTAAAAACGTATGTGGAGATGAAAACGGTCCTGGTACATTCAAAATCTGGGATCACCTCACAGGTATCTAAGAGCAAATAACAGCCCAGATACGTGTACGTGTGCAGTGTCTCTGTCTCAGTGGCTTGAGCCTTTGTTAAACCACCAGTACTTGGCCCAGCGATCGGCCGCGGAAAAAAATAGAGTAGAAACATTTCTAGTTGGATGAATTTGGGCGCTCCTGTAGTGGCCCGTTCGTTTCTTAAGCTCGCATAGCTTTAATGGGCACGACTTAAGGAAGTACTGGTGGACCGTGGTGGTTAAAAAAAAAAAAAAAAAAAAAAAAAAAAAAAATCTTGGGGCCTAACTCAGTGGGTACACCCATGAACTATTGAAATACAGACCGGGGCCTAGCTCAGTGGGTCCCACTTGCACGGATTACGAGATGTCGGCCGTTGATCTCGGCTATCTACGGTCTCTATCTCTTAGTTCGTGCAAGTGGGACCTAGCCCCCGGGGCTAGGTCCCACTTACACGAATAAAGCGATATTGATTGTAGATGGCAAAGATCAACGGCCGGGATCTCTTAATCCGTGCAAGTGGGACCTTGCCAACTTGACGATTAAAACCAACTACTAATGAATTGCTTGGGGCGAGTCAGGCCGTCCCCCTTTTTTTTTTTTTTTTTTTTTAAAAAAACATCTCAGTGGCTAGGCGAAGACATATGCTTGACGCAGAGATGCTATAGATATGTGTGCCCTCACTCCACTTCCCATCATTCTCTACTCCATGTATCTCGACTGAATAGGATCATCTATGCATGCAAGTTAATCCAACATTTTTGAATGTACAGAGACCATTCCGGGACCAGATACTTGCAGAATCTTGTGTCGACGAGCCCGGCCCACAGAATGAGTAAAAGGAAGGCTTCAAGCCAATTCTCTTGCAGCCACGCATGTGGCAGATCTTCCATGTCTCCCATGCTTCTTTTTTTTCATTTTTTTTTCTTCGGAGGCCCACCGGAGGCCCGCTATTTTCCCACGCGTCAAAGGTAGTACCGCCTTCCCCCGAACACAACGCACCCTCATCTTGGCTGTACCCGACCGGAAATATAGCTTGCATACGTTCAATTTCATGGTTTAACGACACAAATTCTTTGCCAAATTCTTTTTTCACCTTTCACTACCTACCCACCATTACTCCTAAGGCCATACAAGGGACCCCTGCAAGCATAGCTGCCGCAGAATGGATTGCATGTTGCCCCCTGCCCTAGCAGTGGAACACAGGGAGTAGGGTGGGGCCGTCGGTGGGGGTTCGGCTAAAACAAAGACCGATAATTTTGCCAGTAGATGCACCTGCCTTTTCATCGTCCCCCGGCCCCCAACGAAAAGCAGCAGTGTCGAAAGCCAACACTCTCCCACATCACACTCACACTCACACTCCCACTCACACTCAGGCCATACTCACACTAGGACTTTTTGCACTTCTCTGTGGACGTAATTGCGGTCAGGTGCGTTCAGGCCAGGTTGGAAGGAGCTCATATACGTCCAGGGAATCCCTTTTGTGAGTATGCCCTCGCACCCGTGTTGGCCAAAGACCCTGCTAATGCCGACCCGGGGCAAGGTCCCACTTACACGGATTACGAGATTCTGACCGTTGATCTGTGCTGTCTAAGGTCAATATCTCTTAATTCGTGTATGTGGGACCTAGCCCCCGAGGTATCAGCCGGTCCTTGGTAAGTGCGTCAGCTGGTCGTTGGTAAGGGCGTCGCTCGGTCTCGAACCCACAACCTCCCGAATGCCAGTTGCGTGCCACTGGGTCCCACGTTTTTTATTCTAAATATGGCCACGTGCATGAGGAACATGCGGAATCCCCGTTTTTCCTCTGGGGCCAGGTCCCATTAGCAAGGATTAAGAGACGTGGGCGATGGATCTCCGGTATTTACGACAGTATCTTTTAATCTGCGCAAGTGGGACCTTGCCCCAGGTGCGTGTCAAAGATATACCATTTAGGTTTCGACAGAATTTATGGGCGTCGCTCCACTACTCGCCACGTGCACAAAACACAAATTATGGGGGTGCATCTTTCCATGTTTTAGCAGCAAATTCACTCTCATTGTGCACAAGTGGTGTCACTGAGTAGTGCACCGATTCCGAGGGCCTTTATCTTGTTGAAGAGGAGATCGGGCTGCTGCTCCACAGAATGGCAAGGAGCCCTGGTTATGGGCATCACCACACCACTCTTGAAATGTGCAAACTGAGAATGAACACAGCCAGACGCACCTTCCACCTTTTTTTGTCTTTCTCTTTTTTAATAATCTTGTGAGGGCTCCATCTGTTGGTGGGAGCAGCACCTGCTGGGGCCACCGGGTCCAGTGTCCCAGCAGGTGCTGCTCCCCACCAACAGTGTCCCAGCAGGTGCTGCTCCCCACCACAGAATGGCAAGGAGCCCTGGTTACATTAAATGCATGTGATACTGTAGGTCACTCTTGGTTTCCCCTATTGGGCATATCTTTTTCTTTTCTTTTTCTTTTTTTTTTTTTTTTTTTTTTTTTTTTGGAGAAACCAAACCTGTATTCCTTTTGAGAGACAGGGGCCCGGAAACACACCCCACATAACAACCCGGTACATAGAGACAGGCTCCTGGAAACTGGGTCCAGTGTCCCTGACCGAAAGCATCTCCAAAGAGTTAAAAGAGGAAAGTCTAGTCCTATACCTGAAGCGAGAAGAAGACTACCAAAAACCAGACCAACTTCTCCACATTAAGTCATTATCAAAGGACTAGCCTTATAGCAGATTACAATTGTCGGAGCCAGAACCTGAAAATCTGAAAAACCGAGAGGCTAATGGGCCAAAAGCAAGTTTAATACAATCAGCCTAACACGGCTTTTGAAACAACCATGATGACAAGGTCAGGCCCCCTGTTTGTGACGCCCAGGGGGTTCCAAAATTAGCAAGCTCCTGCTTGCCTGTGACACGTGTCGATTTCTCTGATCGACCGACACGCGGAGCATCTCTCTCTATGCCACTTACCGTTAAATTGAGTGTGGACGTCGTCCAACGTGGCAGTATTGCTCTTCTACTACTTCCTCAGGGTAGGCCTTCGACATTCCAAGGAGGGGGATTACATGTGCCGCCGTTATGACACGTGTCCAATCGCCATACATCAGTGCCCGCAGGGGAGGGGAAAAGGAAGCCGGTACATAGCGGCATGGCGGGGTGGAGGGTTTATGAGTAGCGGGGGCAGGAGACTTTCCATTCCGGCCACATTCTCCGGGAGCTCCTGATAATGAACAATGCGATGAAAACGGGGGAATCAATTGCCAGTGCGAGGGAGGGACGCGAGATAGTCGGGATAGAGGGTGGTGAGAGTTCGGAAGAGTGCCACGTGGAAGCGATCGCGGTCTTCGCATGCGGGGATGGTCCCCGTTATCACGCAATAAACCTCGATCATATTGTGGCCTCGCCACGCGGCACTAAGGAGTAAGACATGGAGGCAGAAGGCCGGGACGACGCATCTGATGGAGAGGTGGGGATGCACTACTATAGCGAGGCGAGCAGCGGAGAAATGGCGGAAGGTGTCGCGGGGGAACGGATTGGAGGGGAACGTGACGGGGGTGGTGAGTTGGCGGAGGGTGAGGTAATCAAGGGGTCGGCGAGAGAGTGATCGGGGACGAAGACCGATCGCCCGTATCGGCACGTCGGCGAACTGGGGGACGGGTTGGGAAGGAGGGGGATCGGCTCCGTCGCCGTGCTGATGGGGTCGGAGTCGTGGCCGCGAGGTCGCCATCTTCAGGTCGGGGCGGTTCCGGATCTCGGTTTGGGTCGCCGTGGATGTGCAGACTCGTCGCGCTCGCGAGTTCTAACTCCTTCCCGGCCGCGATCTCTTCTCTTTTGCGACCCGCCTCAGGATCTTCAGCCTCCGTGCCTGTACGCAATGCTTCTTTCGGCACAGCTTTCCACTCCGATCCAGCAGGCCCCTCTTCGTGCTCCTCTTCTCCTTCCTCGTCTTCTTCTTCTTCGCTCTGTTCCCCCTCGTTATTCTCGTTATAGCTTCCTTCCTCGGGGGTTTCGTCCTCTTCAGCGAGCACTTTGTCGCTATCCCCGCCTTCTTCCTGCCCGTCTTCTCCTTCGTCACTCCCGGTGCTCTCTTCTTCCTCCTCTTCTTCTCGGATGGCAGCAAACTGCTCCGCTGTAGGGTACCTGAAGAAGGCAGGATCGAGAGTCGTCCGGGGATCCAAATATCGTTGCTGCGACGGCGGGGGATGCGTTCTGCGGCTCCCTTTACGCAAGCCGACCACTGAAGGTAAGGTGTCAATGTGCGAGAGAGCACGTGGGAAACCGGATGCTTGTCGTCTTGCGCGATGATGTCGAGAGGGAGATTATCCGCCAGCTGCGCTACAGGGATCGTGAGCTCGTGCGCGATAAGTTCCCGATGACCGGGCCGCACTGTTCCAAATAAAAATGCGAGAAGCTCTCCCTCCACGCTGGTGCGCTAGGCCTGGATAAACAGCAACTCCAGACGCTCTATGCGAGGTGGGTGCGCTCCGTCCTCGGTGCACGTCAGCCGTACCTCAACCAAACACAATGAAAGCTCGATGAAATCCTCCTGCCACAGGATCCAATGGGGGGATGAAGAAGGGGGACAACAAGAGGCTTTAGACAATAGGAAAGGCGAGGATGGATGTCGGACTGCCAGAAGGTGGGGAAGGTGGAGGGGAGATAAAAAATGGAGATCGGAGAGAGACTCATTGGGGACGCGGGAAGGGAACGAGGATAGGGAGTTCCGTCGGCGGATCTCGTTGATACATCCGAAGGCCGTCGTACTCGATTGCTCGTGTCGTCGCGATCGTATCCCCGTGACGAGCCAGAAGCTGGGTCCACTCGGCGATCAGATCGTTCGCCCACGTGCGCAGCGACGCCTTCACCGCCGAATGTTGTAAGGGAAGGAGCGTGGAGAGATCGCCACTGAAGTTGATGATGACCGATATGCGGCTGACACCGGGCACCGCTCGCTGATGAACTGCTACCGCCTCGGCCAGTACCACCGCGTCAGGCCGGCCTTCGATTCTGAACACCGCCGCTGCATACACACCTTCCGTGCAGAAGAAGTGCGCAAGCCGCCGAAGATCTGGACTAAGGCGGGGATGATGGACTTGCCGGATCGTCAATCGATCACGGGGCGCAAGCGATGCTTCGCTGAGGGCTCTCTCCTCCAGAAAACTCATGGCGATGGCAAAGGTGACGGGGAGGCAGAGAGGGAGCAAGAAGAAGAGAGAGATGCCGGGGAGACAGAGCCGTCGTTGTCGGCTTCCTCGGAGAGAGAGACAGAGGGAGAAGGAGACGGAGTAGAGGGAAGAAGGCGAAGATAGGACATGTGTCGTGTGATCGAACGAGCCGATCGACTGCTGGAGGCTTCGGGGGCGAGACGTACAGTGTCCACGCCGTTAGGCCCGAGCTCGATCACGCGATATCGCCCGAAGAATCGTGGCGCTAGCTTACCCTGGCAAGCACATTTCCTTACCTGCACCACGTCCCCTAAATTGTACTGGGGCCGCGGACCCGCATTCCCATTTCGGGCCTTGTAGCTGCGGACCTGTCGACCTTGGGCCAATTCGGTCATTTTTTGTCATTTTCGCGCTAGCCTGGGCAGGGACAATTCCATTTAATTCTAAGTGTCGTTTGGCCTTGTCCCGAGCCGTAGCCCTGGTGGGCCGTCGGTTCAATGTGGATTCATCTGGGAGGCTTGGTATCGAAACGCAAGCAACGCTATTGGTCCTCAACTGGAAGGGTCTCAACCCCGTCGATTTGTGGGGCGTTCCGCGATGGACCGCCAGGATGTGGTCGACGATATCGGGTCAGGGCCTCGGATCCCGTGCCGCAATATTTCGTCGTAATGTTGTCTTTACCACCCGGTTGGCGTTTTCCACCAGTCCATTGGATTGCGACATGTGGGGTGCAATATTCGGTATGGCAACGCCATGTAGGACCAGGTTCCTTAGCACTTCTCCCCTGAATTCAGCCCCATTGTCGGTCAAGATCTCTTCCGTATCCTGGTGCATCCCGAGGAAACGGTTGACGTATCGCGCGATTTCCGTGGCTTGCCGCGTGCGACAAGGATACGCCTCTATCCATTTCGAGAAATGGTCGACAAATACCAATAGAACTGAATATTCGCAACTATTAGGGTCAGGGGGCACCACTATATCGGTAGTATCCCGGCTCACTCTTTGAAACGGTCGTTCAACTACCGTGGGTACTATCGATCTCGGTGGTTGAATCGACGGTTTATCAACGGCATAGACTTAACAGTTGGCGACAATGTATTTTCACATCGTCGCGGATATTGGACCAGTACCACTCATTTTTGTCGATAGCGGACTCCGTGATTCGTACGGCGAAATGAGCCGCAATTTCTTCGTGCGTTGTCTTAACCCAGTCATACCTCATGAACGGATGCGGCACATCCATCCAAATCCTATTGCCGTCTGTTTTTTGTTTTTCTAATCTGCCCTCTATCCATCTGTAATCTCGAGCCCTCTCGTTGGCCCTCCTCCAATCTTCCTTGGTGAAATCCTGGAGGGGGTTGCCAACTAGGGTGGCAATCAAGGCAATATCAGTCCATACTTCGATCCTTCTAAACCTCCGGGTCTTTTCCAACCCTTCTGACGTGGCATCCAAAAAGCGAGCCTCGGTCGGAATCTTGTCGGTCCGACATAAGGGGCACAACCACAGCTTACTATCGTTTCTGTATTAGATGCACGAGCCATGGGCTCGTGCGACACACTGTCGACACTCTATCTAGTCCGCATACCCTTCCCCGTTAGGACACATGGAAACCGAGTACACGCGGGAGATAGCTTCGCAAAAATAGCAAAATTTGTCAGGCAGGGAAAGGAGAGACGAAGAGGAACGGGGAGAAAGAGGGGTAGTGGGGTTACCTCCGTCATCCATTGCCACCGTTCTGCTTCTTGCCACGTGAGAAAACTGCCACTTGTCCATACTTAGGCTCGTTTGTCAATTCCGGCTCCTTCCACGGTGTAATTTCCTCGCCCTTTAGTACTTTAGCCGGTAGATGCAGACGTGTCAGTCCGTCCGCGTTGCCGTGTCGCTTTGTCTTTCGATGGACGATATCGAAATCGTACTCCTGTAGTCGTACCGCCCATCGGCCAATCATGCCCGTGTAGTTGGTGAGCTTTTTCAAAGCTAGCAGAGGCTCGTGATTCGTCACGAGGCGAAACTTTTGTCCGTAGAGATACAGATAGAAGTGTTGAATTCCCCAAACTACTGCATAACACTCGCCCTGAGGTCTTGAGTCATTCCTTCGCTCGTCCGGTACCGTGCGTGACGCGTATTCGATGACGTGTTCACGACCATCGTTCCCCTTCTGCGCTAAAATAACGGAGATAGCTTCTGGTTGCCAGTGCGTGATGAGAATGAACTGTTTCGAGGGGTCCGACCGAATCAAAATAGGAACCATCCCCAGAGCGTCCTTGAGGGTTGCGAAAGCTTGTTGGCACTCCGCGTCCCAGTTGAGAGGCTAGTCCTTCCCTAGCAGGTTCGTTAATGGCCGTGCAATCGCGACAAAGCCTTGGATGAAGCGCCGGTAGTACAATGCTAACCCCAAGAAGGCTCGAACCTGTGTTAGTGACGTGGGAACCGGGGCTTATTTCATTGCCGCAACCTTTCTTGAGTCCGGTCGTAGTCCTCCACGTGTCACGACGTAGCCCAAGAACGAAATTTCCGAGAGGAAAAATTCGCTCTTCTCGAGCGCAATCTTGAACCCAACGTCTCTCAACGCGCCCAATGTCCATTCGATATGTTGTGCGTGTCCGTGATAGGTTTCCGAAAAGACCAGGATATCATCCATGTACACGATCATACAAAAGTTAATCATCCCGTGTGTCATCCGTGTCTTGTTGACGAAATTCTGGAACGTTATGTTCATCGCTGACTGAAACGTGGCAGACGCGTTGCAAATCCCCATCGGACATCGAACCCACTGCCACGTACCTTCAAACAGTACGAAGGCCGTCTTCGACCGATCTTCCTCCTTTACTTGAATGTGATGGAAGTCATGCCGAATATAAAACTTGCTAAAATAATTAGCGTATCCAATCGCATCGAACAAATCATCAATCCGGGGGAGGGGGTACACATCTTTAATCGTGATTTCATTCAACTTGTGATAATCGATGCATATGCGGATTGATCCGTTTTTCTTCGGCACTAGTACGATGGGAAATGACCATGGTCCGGTGGCGGGTTCAGTCCATCCGCAAGCTTCGAATTCTCGAATTCGTTCGAGAGCCTTTTTGCGTTCTATCAGGGAGTATCGGTACGGATGACAATGGATCGGGGAGTGATTTCCGGTCTGTATTTCGTGTTGAATAACTAACGACAGGCCAATGTCAGTGTCTGTCATGCTAATCGCTCTCCGATATTCCGTCAAAATGTCCGCAATCAACCGATGAATTTCATCGGGTACGTATTGTGACACGTGTAACTCAAAAAGTTGACCCCAGATCCGTACCTCTATCTGTTTTGTGCGTGCAGGTTTCGCCACATCGGGCGGGGGTGTAGAAATGAACGAATGGTCCGATCGCCAGGAGAACACCGTGGCCATCATCTGGGCATCTTCTTCCCGGATTGCCACGTGTCCTTCCGGGGTAATCCCGTCACAAATATCCTGCAATGGCACGTTCTTCGTTGTGATCTTTATCCCCAGTTCGTCTTTTTCTGCTTCGAGACGCCCAGGGGGTTCCAGAGAACTTGCTTCCGCTTCCAATTGAACAATCACACTTCTTTAGCAGATGTCAAATGAGACCTCGGTAGTTCCATAATGTTGCAGTAATGCTTTTTATCGTTGTATCGAGAGAGGAGCGGGGTGATTCCTTCGTACAGGGTTTGAGGGGGTTCCAAAGAATCGACCATCCTCGAAATCTGCACAAGGGGTTCACCCAAGATCATCGCTTTGGTCCTCTGAGCTTTCCTACTAGTCAGATGCATCGTTCTTGCTATCGTTCTGGGTGGCGGGTAGTAAACACGCTATCGTGCTAGCTTCGAGATTTCAGGGTCGTCCTCATCACTGCTGTCGGCCTCATTCGTCAATGACTTTCCGTTTGCGGATTCATCCCAGGAGATCATGCGGAGAGTTACTGCCATCATCGGCGAAACCTGTGGGACTGTGCTGATGGTGGTACGAAGGGTTAGCCTCATAGGTACAGCATAGGGCTTTCCTCCTGTATTTCGGAGGACGATAGATCGTCACTCGAAATCCAGGTTTGCTCGTAACGCTACAAGAGCAGGAAGTCCAAAAAGAACGTCGTACGTATTAACATCTAGTACTGCAACATCCCCAAGCGCGTGCACTTTTCCTAATCGAAAAGCGACATTGGTCATTCTTTCCACAGTCTTGATCTTTTCTTCATGTGCCGAAACGAGTTGATCTTTCTCATTGAGCATGATCAGATCGTTTTTCCTTCCTGCTCTCTCGACTACTCTTAACGAAATAGCCAAATCGGCCGCTCCTGAATTAATGCTTGCGTTATACGGAATTCCCCAAATTTCAATATCGCATTCTGCAGACTTCCACGGGATGGGTTTAATCCGCATTAAATGGTCGTCTTTCTGGATTAATCCTACCCGTATCGGATCCGAAGTGCCTGTCGGATTTTCCTCGAGTGTGGGGCTTTAAGTCTTTGCGTTCGGTACTCGGGCCAGAGCGAATCGTTTTCGGTTCGCTTTGCAGTGCTGCAACCTCCGCTCGTTGGCTTGTTCAGAGATCGAAAGCAAATGACCGATCGGAAGCGGAATCCGATGGTCCAAGGCTCGGACGATGTTTAATACATCGATTTCTCCCGTGATGAAAGTGGGTCCTCCTGATTCCATCTCCCCTAGAGAAGGTCGCCACTCCGCCACCTCTTTCTGTTTCGCTGGTCTGATCGTTCCGATCATTCCAAGCCCGGGATAACCAAGTGATATGTACTGATCTAACGGGATTAGCTTGGCGGAATCTTCCGTGGTGGCTAGGGCACTTCCCCCACCCTCTATTTCTTCCATCAAAACTCTGACTCGTCCTGGTCCGTTAGCGATGGGCGCTGCGGCCATCGGCGCGACCCCGACACGTTGTTGCGGAGGCCTGTGAGGGCAATCACGGGCTAGATGTCCAGGTTGATGACATGCATAAGAGACGTTCAGATTGCCTGCGATTCCTCCAAGAGCGGGGGCCGGGGCTAACCCTTGCTGAATTGGAGGGGCACGCACCGCAATGGGCCGCATGTTCCTCATCATGGCTTCCAACCGAGCATTTTGCTCTCGCTGCTCCTTTTTGCTTTCCTGAATTAGACTAACCAAGGTTTTGGTCAGCTCGAGCATGGTAGTTGATTCATTCGATCGTACGGGAGTCTCGACTGGGGGCGGGGGTGCCGTT